GTTACCTGCTGCTTTTGGAGGGGGGGAGGTAGGCAAGGAGGGCGGTGGAGTCTGATACCCACGACACACGTCTCTATGCAAGTGCTTTGGGTGGTGTGTGTAGTATGGGTGGGACTAGGGCTCATGGGTGGTGTGGCGGGCATCCTTACAGGCTTTGGTACACCTGAGAACATCACCATTGCTGGCTTGTTCCCCCTCACTGGCGGCCTCGCCGCTGGTGGTGTCGAGCGGGAGGCCGCCTTCCGCATGGGCATCCAGCACATCAACGCAGACCGAAATCTCCTTCCGGACGTATGTAGCAGAGGAAGGGCGAGGATGGTGTGTGTTTGTGGGGTGTGGGTGTGTGGGGGTGTGTGGGTGTGTGGGGTGTGTGGGGGGTGTGGGGGTGTGGGTGTGGGGTGTGGGGGGAAGGCGGCGTCTGGTCCAGGGGTTTGTCGTGGTCAAACGTGCGTCAGTCCGAGGTTGTGAGTGGGATGACGCGCGATGGGATCAGATGAAGGTGGAGCTGGCTCACGATGAGATGGAGTGGATGGAATTGGTGATGGACAGACGAAGATTATCGGGGTGTCGTTTGATACACAGACGACGCCATCAGGAGGCATGGTGTCGGCACTCGAGGCGACCAAAGACCCAAGCCTGGTGGCCATTGTCGGGGCAGCGTCATCCTCGGTCTCGCGGGCTGTACAGCAAGTGGCCTCGATCTTCGAGATTCCGCAGATCTCGTACTCGTCGACAGCGTCGCCACTCTCGAACAAGATCCTCTATCCGTACTTTTTCCGTGTCGTGGCGCCTGACTCGCTCCAGGGCTCAGCGCTGGCGTCGATTGTGCACTCGATCGGGTGGAGAAAAGCGGCGACGATGTACTCGAATGACGACTACGGGCTGTCGGGCGTGACCGCGTTTGCGCAACGGGCGTCAGACGTGGGAGTCTCGATCGAGGCCAACATTCCGTTTGCGCCGGGCGCCATCGAGTACGGCGTGGCGCTGGACCAGCTGGTTAAGCACCACGGCGTCCATGTGGTTTTTCTCAACTGTCTGGTGAGCGACGCAGTGGAGTTGTTCAAGGAGGCCGACCGACGCGGGCTGCTCGATGGGCAGTACGTGTGGGTGGGGACCGACGGATGGCTGCAGGACGAGCTGCTCAACGTAGGCCTCCCGTCGTCGAAGCTCATCGGCGTGCTCGGTCTCCGACCGGCGCTGCCATCGGGAGTGCGGCTCGAAGCGTTTCTCGACTCATGGGAGCAGCTGAACGCGACCGAGTTTGCCGGTGCGGGCGACCGAACCGTCAACGTTTTCGCGCCGTACGCATACGACGCGCTGTACCAGGTGGCGCGGACAATTGATGCCATGATCCGCGGAAAGGCGAATGCCCTTGATGGCTCTGAGCTCCGGGCGTGGCTCTCCAACTCGAGCTATGAGGGCACGACGGGCCTGATCTCGTTTGACGAGAACTTTGACTGCATCGCCGCGTACTCGCTCGTCAACTACCGCGGCGGCGCCGGGTTTGAGATTGTGGGCCGGTGGCTCGCGGAGCAGCGGCTCGAGCTCGACCGCCCGATACTCTACTACGGCAACACAACGAGCCCGCCATACCTGCCGAGCCCGATGGCGAGCCCGAGCACGTCGTCAATTTCTGCGGGCCTTATTGGCGTCATTGCCGGCATGAGCGCATGCGTGTGCCTTGGCTTTGGCATCCTTGTGGTCCACAATCTGCGGCGGCGCAAGCACGTGGCGGCGCTCCAGCGTGAGAATCAGCAGCTGGACCGCGAGGCGCGGGCGCTTAACTCGCGGCTCAACGAGCTCGCCAAGGAGACACACGCATCGGGCTCTTCCACCCCGCCGACAATGGACCTGCCCATCAACCAGGTCATGTCGCTGCTGACCTCGATTCGGGCCTCGACGCAGGATTCAGACATGATGGCCAAGCTCGACAAAGCTATCGAATCAATCCAGTCAAACATGCTGTTCCAGCCGTCGACAGCGATGTTTCCGGACGGGGAGGGCAACGACGACGTCAAGAACTTTGTGCAGGGCACCATCCTGACTAACGTGCCGACGCCATCAAACTCGTTGCAGCGGTCGGGCGCGGGCCTCCAGACGTACGGCAACGGGTCGGCGGCGAGCCTCACCCCCACGCCCAATTTGGCGGTGACGGTGGCCATGCCGATTCCTGCGGAACTTGGCGACGTGCTGGGCAAGCTTCGGACACTGGCGTTTGACGCCGAGGCGCTAGTCGCCAAGGATACGACACCGCTGCAGACGGTGTTCATGGCTGTGTGCACCCAGAACGCACTGCTCTCACAGCTCCGGCTGGATCCGGTCATTGTGCGCGACGTCATGCTCGCGCTCGACCGGTACACGCCGCGGCTCAACGCGTATCACAATGCACAGCGGGCAGCCAACATGGTCCAGTTTGTGCACTACGTGCTCTCTGTCACAGACCTGTACTCGCTCCTCTCACCTCGCGACACGTTTGCGGTCCTCTTCGCCGCCGCCATCAAGAACGTCGACCACCCTGGCTTCAATGCCTCGTTCCTGGTCCGGACGCGGCACAAGCTCGCGCTGCTGTACTCGAACCAGGCGGTGCTGGAAATGCATCACCTGGCGGTCTCAATGCAGCTAGTCTTTGAGCGGTTCAAGCTCTTTGACCAGCTGCTCGAGGAGGACATTACCGCCCTCCACCACACCATTGTCGACCTTGTCCTCGCATCCGACATGCAGAAACACGTCGAGGTGACCTCACGGTTCTCGCTCCTCATCGACCCGACCGAGCCGTCGAAGCGGACAGCATGGAAGGCTGCGGTGGCAACCGACAATGGCTTTCGCAACTTGGTCCTCAAGATGGTGCTTAAGCTGGCGGACTTGTCCGACGCGGCGCGGCCGACCAAGATTGCTCGCGGCCTGGCGCTGCGGTCGATGATCGAGTCGTCGCTGCAGGGCGTGCAGGAGGCGGCGGCAGGCATCGAGGTGTCCCCGTTTATGGACGGTGCCATGTCGTCGGTGGCAAAGTCACAGGAAGGAATCATCCGCTTTGTCACCCTCCCCATGTTCTCGGCCTTTGCCGAAGTCTTTACCCTCACCGAAGTGCTGCAGAACCTCTCGGACAACATGCTCTTCTGGCAGCGCGTTGTTCCGTCGACGCTCCAGCCGTTCTATGACGCGCTCCTCGCCTCTCACGCCGCCACCGCAGAGTCGATCCAGCCAGGCTCGTCCGCCGCGCTTGTCTCGGCGCAGAAGTCGCCTCTATCATCACCAGGAACCGGGGCGGCCATCACGGCGCCGAGGCCCAGCCAGAGCGAGGCCTCGCCGTCGTTGCCTACCCCTGCCACTCCCGCGCCGGCCAGCGCATCGATTGCATCGGCCGGAGGCGCGGAGCCATAGGCCGGAGGCGGTGGTGTTCAATTTGCTCCTCTTCAGTAGCGTGTAAAGCCGTGGCCATGTTGATATCTCGATGTGGGCCGAGTGGCCGCTAGTTGAAAAGGCGGTTGCCCGTCACTGCAACCACAGCCGCAACCACAGCCGCAACCATTGCCACTCACTCGACCGCACACTCGACGCACAACCATGCTCTCCCTCCGACTGTCGGCGGGTGCGACGGCCCGTGCTGTGGCCACTGCCATGGCAGTGCGGAGCATGACTCTTCCTGCCAACAAGAAGTATGTCAACGGCCATAAGGTTGACCCTGCTGCACAGGTACGTCCCGTCCCCCCCCCCCCCCCCTCCCCCTCCATGGTTGCCTCTCCCCCTTCCCCTCCCCCTTCCCCTTCCCCTTCCCCTCCCTCCCAATTTTTGACCCGACCTTGTACCGCCTCCCCTGGCCCCCCACGCCCCTACCACCCCACCGTACCCATGCCCAAGGGTATGATATCGTGAGTGTAGGTCTCGTCTTCACTGTGGTCTACTTTTTATCTCCAAGGGTGGTCTGTACCCCGTGGAAGTGGCTCGCCCGTCTCGTGTAGCTCTGGGCGGGAGATGGCCTGTGGCCTGTGGCCTGCGGCCTGTGGGCATGGGCATGGGCATGGGCATGGGTATGGGTATGGGCATGGGTATGGGTAGATTGGGACTTGGACTTGGACTATGGACTTACTCTGTGGGTTATTGGTTGATTGATGGTTGTGATTATGGCAATGGTGGTTGTGGTGGTCTTGCGCGACATGGCCGGGAACGTGGACTTGGTCGGGGACGTGGACGTGGTCGGGGACGTGGTCGTGGCCGGGGACGTGGACATGGTCGGGGACGTGGATGTGGTCGGGGATGTGAATGTGATGCGAATTTGGTGTGGCGTGGTCACGGCTGGCATCGCCGCTGTGGGGTTGCTGTGGGGCGTTGTGATCTTCTTGCTGGCGACCGCTGGCGATGACCGGCTTCTGCTCGCCACCCCTACCCTCTCCTGGTCACGCCGTCCTGCTACTCTCGACTTTTCCTGGCTACGTTCGGCTGGGCGCCTCTCCGTGAATACCGGCACAGCCGAAGCCGTCGAATGCGGCCGAGCTGATCAGCAAGGTCCCGCCGGTGGAGATCGATGGCCCGGCTACCGTGTGCGACGGCGGACGCGGGCCGCTCGGCCACCCGCGGGTCTTCATCAACCTCGAGCCGCACCGCCCGGTCGAGTGCGGCTACTGCGGCGTCCGCTACGTCCAGAGCCACTCGCACTAAGTGAAACCATCTCCCAAGATTGTGTTGTTCTGTGTTGTGTTACTCCTCCCCTCTCCCCTCCGATCTTCCGTCCTACAGAAGGTCCGAGGTGCTGGTCGCGTCCCAGACACAGGCGTCGGCGTCCGTAGCCTGGATCAGAGTGAGCACGGCCGGGTCCGGGTCGAGTCCGAGTGCCTCGGCCCGGTGCCAGCGCTCAGAGCGAGAGATGCCCTTTGCCGGGCCGTACGCCTTGTTGAGATCAAAGAGACGGAGCGCATCAGCGACAGCCGAGGCGTCGAGGCCCTTGCGGGCACCACGGGTCTTGAGCACGGCTGACGCCGCGTCCTTGGCCTCATCGCGAGCGCGGCTCATCTGGCTCGTTGCCTTGACGGCTCCATACACAGGTGCCGACATGATGCTATTTCTACCTTTCTACCACGGGACGTTGTCTTTCTCTCCAACAGTGAGATGTGTCCCCGTCGCCACCACTCCTGCTTCCGCATCGCCTTGCCGTCCCGTCCACCCTGTGTCCGTTGTGGAAGCAGAGCCAATTGAAAGTTTGGAATGTCCCATGGTCACGCCAACGATTAATGTCCCCAACAACACCAACGATTAACCCCCGCTACCCCCGCCCCCCCCACCCTCTCGCCTCAACGACCACCCCACTCCACCCCCCCTCCTCCGCACAGAACATGGAGTGGAAGCTGTCAGAGAGCACCCGCGCACGGGAGACACTTCTTGCTGATGGCCTGCCCCGAGAGACGGATGAGGAGTCGCTTGCGGTGGCTCTGGCGGCTTACGGCGCTGTCGCCTCTTGTCGCATTGTGAGGCGAGACACAGGCGTGTCGACGGGCACGGCAGAGATCGTCTTTGCTGACGATGCCGCTGTGGACCTGGCGCTTGCTGCCTCTGCTTCCGGAAAGCTGGTACTCTCCTCGCTGCCTGTCGATTCCGTCTCTCCTGCTGCCTTTTCCCTCCGCCGCCTCGTCGACCCGTCCAAGCTGCTCATCGCGCCCGGGCTCTCTGCGGCTGTTGCAAGCACAAAGTGAACGATGTTTACCATGGTGTGGGTGAGTGACCTAAAGGATCCGGACGTAGTTGGACGGGAGCAGGCCCGTGACGCCGTTGAGCGTTCCGCGCAGCCAGCCCGGAGCAACCTCGTCGGTCGACTCGAGGTCGATGACGTCGCCGGCGGCGAGCGAGAGGTAGCCCGGGTCCGACTCGTCGACCGGGTAGAGGGCCTCGGCGCGCGGGCCCTGCGGGACGGGCGCGGCAGCGGGCGGCGCGGGCGTGGGTGGGGCGGCAGGCGCAGCCTCCACGAGCTCGGTGTAGGCGGCCGGGAACATGCCGTGCATGCCATTGATAGTTCCGGTCCACCAGTCGCCTCCAGACGTGTCCACGTTGGTGATGATGTCTCCGGGGGCAAAGGAGATTTCGGTGTTGTCGCGCGCGTCAAACTGGTACGCGGCGCGGGCAGACTGGCCGGCCGACGTGGCGGGCGGCGCAGCGGCAGGCGCCGCCACTGCTGCCGTTGCAGCGGGTGCCGAGTACGCCGTACCAACCGGGTCGGCGGCGGGCGCGCGGTAGCGCTTCTGGGTGATGTCCGGCACCGGGATGCGGGCCGCGGTGTATGCGAGCGAGGCTGTGACCGGGGCGCGGTAGTAGCCCGACTCGGGCATGACGGCCGACTGGGCCCGCTTGCGCGATGCGACGTCGGCGACCTTGATCTTCTTGACGCCGGTGCGGATGACCTCGTGGAACCACTTGAGGAAGTGCTCCGGCTCGGCCGACGGGGTGCGGCGGGCGTTGGTCCGGATAAACTGCTCGAGGTAGTTCTCAAAGTCGGACGAGGGCGGGAACGACTGGAGGCAGATCTGCATCAGCTGCCACCCCCGCGTCGCCGAGTCCGGGTTCGGGTTCTGCGTCACCTGCTTGGCCACGTTGGCGTACATCTCGTCGCGGATGGCCTCGTTGGCGCACGCCTCGTTGACAATCTCCTGCGCGAGGAAGAGCGGCTCCGAGAGCTTCTTGTCACCCATAAAGCCCTGGATGTTCTTGGCCATCTTCTTGCACAGCTTGACCATCAGCGGGTCCTGCTCGATCTTGCGCATCATCGACCCAGGAATGCCTTCCTTGGCCCACTCAAACATGCCGTCGCGCCGCTTCTTCTTGCCAAACATCTTGGCCTTGGAGAACTCCTCGCGCGACTTGAAGAGCGGGCACTGCGGGAGCGCAAACTTGCTGGCCCCGTTGGCCTGGAAGAACTCGTCCTTGATGGCGATAGCGACCCGCGTCATCCGCGACTCGTCGCGCAGCGCCTGCGCCGCCTCAAACTCCTTCTTGAGGAACGCCACCTTGTCCAGCGAGAGCAGCTGCCGCATCTGCTGCACCTCTGGCGAGTTGAGCCCGATGGCGTTGGCGCCTGCCGTCGCCTCCTCCAGCAGATGCCGCTGGCACCGCTGGATGGCGTCGCGCGCGTACGCCTTGTAATGCACAATCTGGTCGTACAGCGCACGCGCGGCCTGAACCTCGGCGTTGTTGCACCCGTACGAGTCGGCAATGTCGATGCCTTGCTTGAGGTACGCGTCGTCGACCGCCGCCGTTCCCTGCTGCATCGCTGTCCGCGCCGCGTACACCTGGTCGTACAGCGCCTGCGCCTGCGCCACCACGTCCGACCACTCGCCGGTCTGCATGTTGAGCCCGTACGCGTTCTGCAGCTCCATTTGCAGGCAAGCGTCGTCAAAGTCGCGGATGCCCTCAACAAGGTTCGCCAGCACGGTGTCGACCGCGGCCTGGTGGGCGAGCTCGGCCTTGGCCGCATCCATCTCTGGCGACGCCACCCCGCCCTTGAGCCCGGCCTTGATGGCCTTGTCCAGCGCCGACCAGTCCTCGCCGCGGAGCGCGTTCCGGATCGCCACCATGGTCTCGGCCTCAAACGCCGCCGCCTTGCCCGGCGCCGTCTGCATGCCAAACGCCGCCGCCTCGGCCAGCACTGCAGTCAGCCCCGACGGGTCCGCGCTACCCGTGTCGCGCCCCACCATCGCGCCCACCGCCAGCGCAGCCTTGAGCTTGGCCACCAGCGCCTGCTCCTGCTTGATCCGCTCGATCGCAGCGAGCGCCGCCTGGCACGACGGGTGCGCCTTGTTGAGCGTGCACGCCTGCGCCCGCCGGATGCCGGCCTGCAACTGGCTGAGGTCCATTGCCGCCACCGCCGCGTCGAGCATCTTCACCGTCTCCTTGCGCTCGTGGATGAGCTTGACCCGCTCGCGCATCTTCTGCACCACAGGGTCCGCAAAGCCAATCGCCTCTGCCCGGTCGAGCAGCGCCTGGATCTTGTCGTAGACCGGCTCCGGATCGACCGACACGTACTTTTGCAGCTCGTCGCGAATGCGATTCTCCTCCAGAATCGTCTCGCGGAGCGTCCGCGCCTGCACCAGCGAGAACATTGGAAAGTGGATGCCCTCGGCGCTTGCAAGCGCCTCCTCCAGCACCGGCAGTGACCGCGTCGAGATGGCCCGCTCCAGCTTGGGGTGCGCCGCCTTCATCCGTCGATACTGCACCCGGCAGTAGTGTCCGCGCATGACCGACTGGCACACAATGACCACCTTCTCGAGCTCCACAGCGCGGAGGAGCTCCAGCTCGCGGTGCGGGCCCTGCCGGTACAGCACACGCGTGCTGCCGATCTGGATCTGCGAAAAGTCGCCCCGCAGCTGGCCCAGCAGCTGTCGGCACTGGTCCGGGAACGGCGCACTCCGCGGAATGTTCTCGCCGAGGAACCCGTACCGCTTCATAAACTCCTCATGCGTGTAGCGGAACGGGAAGCCCTTCTTCCGGATCTCGACCGCCTCAAACACGCCCGAGTACCGGAGCTGGAGCAGGCAGTTGGTGCCCTCAAAGATGCCTGCTGTCTTGAGCGAGTTCGACTTGATGCACCGCACGTAGTGCGGCGTCGTCTTGGCGAGCGTGTTCATCAGCGCCGACAACTGGTCCTTAAACTGCGAGCCGAGCGTAGTCTTGCGGCCCTTGGACGATGCCGCCGCAGCGTCCGACTCGAAAATCGTCCGCAGAAAGCCGGAGCCCGAGCCCGAAATGAGCGTCAGCAGATCCTCCTGCAGCGTGTCGCGGTTCTTCTCCAGAAAGCCGCGGACGTCGTACACTACCTGCCCGGCGTAGTGGTCGATAACAAAGGCCGTCGGCGGCCGGAGCGGCTTGATGTACCGCGGCGACTTGCGATCGTGCCGCTGGTGAAGCTTGCGGAGGAACGACTCGTCCGAGCCCTTGGGCATGACCACCTCCTCATCGAGCATGGCAATGATGCCGTTCGGCTTGTTCTCCACAAGGTCGAGGCACGGCTGGTTGTCGATGAACTCGACATGGTCGTACACAATGCCCTCTGACTGGTACAGCGCCTCTTCGAGCTTGAACGTGTGCTGGTTAAAGTGCTGCTGCAGCTTCTCATTGGCGTAGTTGATGCACATCTGCTCAAACGAGTTGTTCTCGAAAATCTCAAAGCCGAAAATGTCCAGCACCCCGATGATGTTGAACGGGCCGCGGATCGTCGGCTTGAGGCTTGAGTTGATCCGCTCCACCACCCAGTCGAACATCTTGGAGTAAATCATCTTCGAGAGCGCATCGCGGTTGTCCGTCGCCTGCACAGAGTCGAGCGGAATGAGCGTCGGCTCCTGCCCAGGAATCCGCATCGTCCGCGAGGTCACCGCCTGCTGCAGCGCCGACGGCTCGACGCAGAACAGCTGCGCCGCCATCTCTAGCTCGGCAGGATCCGTGATCGTCGCCTGGTCCTGCTCGTTGTTGACAAAGTCGACGTTGCCCAGGTGCGCAATCGCAGCAACCATCGTGTACAGCGTCTCCTTGGCCTCGGTCCCAAACTCGAGCTCCTCAAACGCCTTCTCCACCTCGGCAAACTCCTCGGCGTCGTCCATGTACTCGACAGAGTGGCACCCACCCATCATGGCATACCGGTACGCGTCCGGCCCCTGCAACATCAGCTTGGCCCGCAGCGGCTCCGACGCCGCCTTGGTCAGGTGGTAGAAAATGTGGTAGTTGCGCTCGCCCTCGATCTGGAAGCACACCCGCGACTTTTCCAAAAGGTAGTTGTTGATCTTGCCACCGGCAATCTTACCCTCCATCGGCGTAAAGAAGACCTCGATCCACTTGCCGAACCGCGACGAGTTGTTGTTTCGCAGCGTCTTGGCGTTACCGAACGCCTCCAGAATCGGGTTCGCCATCAGAATCATCTGCTCCACACCAGACACAGAGCCGGCCGTCTCGGCCAGGTACGACAGCACCTGCTTGGTCGCCTCGGTCTTGCCGGCACCAGACTCACCTGAAATGAGCACAGACTGGTCCGTCTGCCCGCGGATGCCCTCCATCATCTTGCGGTATGCCTCGTCGGCAATCTGGAACACGTGCGGCGGGAGCGTCGAAATGCCCTTGTGGTAGTACCGGTCGATCACAGTCGGCGTGTAGAGGCCGAGGCCCTTGAACGGGTTCACCGAAATGAGAATCGTGCCCACGTTGGTGTAGATCTTGTCCTTGTAGAACCGCTCCCGGAGGTTGTGGATGATCATGCCCTCGTCGATCGAGTCCATCTGCACTAGGTCGTCCATCAGCCGCTGCAGCGACGACTTCTTGAGCGGCACAAGATCCTTCTTGTTCTTCTTCGACTTGCGGTACTCCACCTTGGTTCCGTTCTCCAGCTGCAGCGACATTGATCCGTCCGAGTATGCCTGGAGCACCTTGGCCGGCACATACGCCGCATCCTCATCCGGATACCACACCCAGTCACCAGCATCCTCATAGTCGTCCGCCGTCCGCAGCTCAGCCGGCTTCTCCCAGGACGTCTCACCAGTGATTGAGTTGTGGTAGTAGTCCACGCCTTCAGGCGTCTTGTACGCCGCCCACCCCGACATGTGTGTCCTGCAGCAGTGAAGGGAGGGGGAGGGGAGGGGGATTGTGATTGTGAGTCTGTTTGGAGGGAGGGCGAGACGGGGGGGGGGGGGGGGGGCTTTGGTCCGCTCAAGAAAAACGAGGCCACATGGACAGGACGAGTCCAAAATGGGCGGAAGACCTGAGGGGCGGCCAGGGAATGTGTGTGTGGGGGGATTGGCGAGCTATAGTAAACGCAGGCGGAAATGGTGGCAACTGAAGAGTGCTTGAGCTCTAGGAGATGGTTGTTGTGGTCCATTGTACCCCACTCTCATCACCTTCTTCAACCCCATCCCCCTCTGACTCGCCAGCCTTTGCCTGAGAAAAATCGGACGCCGCATTAGAGACCGTCGCGATCGAGGCGGCGGTGAGCCCTGGGGGCTCCGCAGGGCGGTCAGACGAACCCGAGTGTGCAAGATAGAGGGAGAAGAAGAGGAGAAGGAAGGTCAGAGAGCAAGGTAAAGACCATAGATATGGTAGTATACCCCATGAATACACCAAACTCTACTATGTCATCCTTTCTCACCACACACATAACATGACGATACTCGCCAAACTCGCTTGGCAACGTACAAGACTATGGCCCGAGACAATTCTGGCGAATGAGCGAATGAGCGGTGCCACTCCCCCCTCCCCTCCCCTCCCTGCCCCGCCCCTCCTCCCGCCCGCCGCCGCTGACTCATCGAATCACCGCCGCACCGGCAATTCATCGCCACTCGCGGAAGGTTGGAATGAACAAGGGGATGGGGGTGGGGGGTGGGGGTGGGGGGGCATTATGTGGTGTGGTGAGGATTAAGGGTGTGCGTAGCACTGTGCGCTTGGATGTAGCCCATACCTGGTGATCGATCCCCCCTCCCTTCTCACCTCTCCGCTGCTCCGCCACCTGAACTCGTCATCGCGGCCTCACTCAACTCTGCTACCATGACGACCAAGCTGTATCTCGACGACACGGATCTGGTGAAGTGCGAGGCGGTGGTGGTCGAGAGTAGGAGCGGGCAAGGTGACGGCGAGAGCGGGCAAGGTGACGGCGAGAGCGGGCAAGAGGCTACCGCTGAAGTCATTCTCGACGCTACAGTGGTGTATCCTCAGGGCGGAGGCCAGCCATCGGACAAGGCGACGATCAGCTCGGTCGATGGCTCTGTGGTCTTTCGCGTCGACAAGGCCGTGCTTGATCGCGATTCCGACGTCGTGGTTCACACCGGTGCGTACATGCCCGGGAGCGAGCCGCTGGTGCCTGGCATGCCGGTCGTTGTCGCTGTCGACGCCGAACTCCGCGCGCTTCACGCCCGGCTCCACTCGGCCGGCCATCTTCTCGACGCTGCCATGCGCAACCTTGGATACGCTGATCTGGAGCCGACTAGAGGCGCGCATGCGCCGCATCTGGCGTACGTCGAGTACGCCGGCGTCATCGCCGATCCGGGCGAGCGGGAGCGTCTTCCGCAACGCCTTGCCGCCGAGTGTGCAGCTCTCATTGCTGCTGGTGGCGACGTTCGTGTCCGCCATGTCGCTCGCGATGATGTTGCTGCCGAGTGTGGGCTCGACGAGATTCCGGCCTACCTCCCGGAGACCATGCCGACTGTCCGCATCGTCGGCATGGCCGATGCGGCCTGCCCCTGCGGCGGAACACATGTGAAGAATGTCGTCACCATTGGCGGCATCACCATCCGCAAGATCAAGCACAAGGCCGGTAAGCGGACCGTGAACGTCCGCTACTCGGTCGATCCGTCGCCCTAAGCGAGCGAGCGCAACAAGCCCGACTGACCACTCGTCAAGGCCATAAGCGAGGCCACGACCAAGACCAAGGTCCACCACACTCTTCTCCTCCCAGCACCGTCTGCTCATGTCTGCCTCTCCTCCCTCGTGGAACGCTATGTCCGAAGACGACCAGAAGGCTCTCCTCGACTGGTTCCAAACCTACATCCAGGGTACGCCACCCCCTTACCCTTGCTCTTCCCCCCGTGACCAATGGCGCCTCATCCACCATCCATCCTCCTCACCTGCCCTCCCTCCCTCCCCCGTTCCCCCCCCCCCACCCTCACCCCCCCCCCCTCGCCCCCCCCCCCTCCAACACAGACTGTCCGTTCTCCAACCGGGTCATGCTTGTGGCCACACAAATCCTTTGCGTCTTGCCGGGTACGGCTGTGGCCTCCTCGGACGCAGGTGCTTCGTCGTCGGCTTCGGCTTCTTCTGCTGCTGCTGGCGCGTCGTCGTCCACGGCGGCCGAGGCTGATCCGACTCTGCCTGAGGGTGCAAAGGCGGAGATCCGTGCAGAGTCTTTCCTTGCTCTGCAGGGAATTATCTCGGCTGAAGAGACTGATGCTCGGGATGCGCTCATTGATGCCCTTGCCGAGCGTGTCGAGGAGGTCGAGGATCGGCTGGATGTCGTCCTCGAGCCCGGCACCGCCATCCCGGTCCAGGATGCCTCGGTGACCATCCTAACGTCGACGAGTGCGACTACCGGGACCGAGCTCCCGCTGCGTGAGGTCGCAGCTCGTGAGGGCCACGTCTCGCTCATCACGTTTGCCACGGCGCTCTCGCCCATCGCGCTCGGCACTGTCCACGGCCTGGTTCAGTTTGTGGCCAAGGCCGCAGCCGAGTGGGACGGCAAGGTCGACGTGGTTTGCGTTTGGCTCGACGACCAGTTCAAGCCGGCCGAACTTGCCGAGCAGATCGAGTCCAACGGGTGGGCCATCGACGGCCTCACTCATGTCTGGGCCGGCCCCGATGGCCCGCAGTCGGACCTCGCTGAGGCCTTTGCCGTCACCCGCATGCCGCTTTGCTTCCTCACCGACACCCAGGGCCGCCTTGCGTGGCAGGGTGTCTCGGGTGCACTCGACTTTGGTGTCGAGATTGCTGCCCTCCTCGACGGCTCCGAGGCGCTGCTCGAGACGTGGAAGACCCAGTTCCACGCCTTTTCGGTCGCCGCCATCGAGGACGCCGCCGACTGCGGATGCTGCGGCGATGAAGAGGCTGCGGCTCCCAAGACCGAGTCCGCGCCCGCCTGCGACGCGCCCAAGTGGATGGACGCCGCTCCGACCGAGGACGTTCGCGTCGCCAAGCTCTGCGACATGTTCAAGGCTGCGTCTGCCGCCGAGCTCGCCTTTGACTCGTTCATCTCGCAGGTCGCCACCCTGGTCTCGGCTGACGGCGTGACCCACGACGCACGCGTCTCGGTTGCCGGCGAGTTCCCGTCGTCGGCCAAGGCGGAGCTTGACTCGGCCATGGCGGCCATGACCGACATTGCCGGCTGCCGCATCGACACTGCGCAGATCACCATGTTCGCCACGGCCGCGCCGCTCGACGTCGCCGCGGCCTGCTCGGCCTGCGCCAAGCCGTCGGCTGTCGAGGGCAGCGACGAGCCGGCCTTCACCTGCGTCCACTGCGCCGGCTCGTCTGAACCCATCACCCTCTGCGCCAAGTGCTACTGGACGACGGCGCCGCACGATCCGTCCCACACGTTTGTGGCCACCCTGCGTGGCCGGACCCAGCTCCACAGCATGCGCCACGGCAACGGGACGCTGCTGCCGGAGAACCCGGCCGATACCGACGACGTTGTCGAGGGCATGCACGTCACCGTCCAGTGCGACGGATGCGCCGTCAACCCGCTGGCTCTTGTGCGCTACAAGTGCGCACACTGCGAGGACTACGACCTGTGCGCCGACTGCCACGCCTCTTGGGCCGCCTCGGCCGACGGCGTCATCTCCACGGATGACGGCTTTACCTACGCTCACGCACCCGAGCACGCTTTCCTCGCCTACCGCGCCGACCAGCCGTCGTCGGCCTGAGCGGTCCAACCAGCTACCGCCGCGATAACGGTGAAAGGCCCGGCGACATGCCGCGCCGCTGCTGCCGCCGCCGCCGACTGCCGCCAAGCGACCGTCGTCGTCCGAGACTCGACTCGCCGCTCCCGCTCACAAAAGCTACCGAGCCGCCGCCCCCAGCCGACGAGACCGAACCGTACACCGACACCCCACCGCCGCCGCCGCCGCCCGACGAGCCACCGGCTGCTGATGAGCCACCGGCTCCGCCGCCGCCACCCCCGCCGCCCCCGCCCCCGGGCTCCGAGCCGTGGACGTCATCGCCACCCCCAAGCAGCGCCGCAGCATAGGCATCCATGCCTGGAAGATTGGAAAACCCTGCAGCCATGAGCGGAGCGTGCGCGGCCGACGGCGCGACTCGTGCGGTCGGCCGCGAAAAGTCCGGCGAGCCGTCAGGGAGCCTGTGCGGGAAAAAGGTCTCGGTGTAAAAGATGATGATCTTCTCGATGACGTCGAGCTTGTGCAGGTAGTGGCCGTGCGCCTTGCCCGAGGCCTCGACATGCTGCTTGATGCGGGCCGAGGCAGCGGCGTTGGCCTCGGCCTGGGTCCTGTTCACACCGAGCGGGATAATGCGCTTCTTGCGGTGCTGCCGCTCCATAACAAGCGTGTAGAGGTTGTCGATGGCCATGGTGATCTCGCCAAGCGTCCGATACCGCGCCTTGGACGCCTCGTCGACCGTCTGCTGCGCAGACTCGAGCGAGGTGCCGGATGACTGGAGCTTTTCCAGCTCAAAGTGGAGCGAGAGGAGCTGGGTGGTGAGGACTAGGACGGTCGAGTCCTTGTGCTCGCGCTCGGCCGCCAGAGCCGCCGCCTTTTTCTCAATCTCTGCCTCAGCCCGCTCGACTTCGGCCAGCAGCGTGGCCTGGGTCTGGACCAGCGTCTCGTACCGCTTGAGAATGGCCTGAGTCCCGTCCGAGTACGCGTCTGACGACGAGGCCAGCAAATACTGTGCGCCTTCCTGCCGGAGGAACGACTTGAGGTACTCGTCGTAGCCTTTGAGCGCCTCCAATGCCTTGGTCTGATCGGCTTCACGCTCCTTGAGCGCTGCCAGTGTCGCCTGCAGCGTCACAATGGTGGCCTCGATCTCCTCGCGCTCGGTCATGCGCTTGCGGGCGAGCTCGAGGTCCTGCTCGGTCTTGCGCTTCTTGTTCTCAATGAACGACTGGTGCGCATCAATCTCCTTCAGCAGCTTGAGCTTTGACTCGTTGAGTGCCGCAAGCTCTGCGTCAAACAGCTTCATCTGCATGTGGAACCAGTTCTTCTTGATGTCAAGCTCGTAGTCGACCCGGTCGTTCTCGGCCTGTGCCTCCTCGATCAGGGTCGACTGCAGCGCCAGCGACGAGTCTGGCAGCAACGTCCGCATCCTGCTCTGGGTCGTCTCTTCCTCTTCCTGCCGCTTCACCTCTGCCGCCGTCAGCCGGAAGATCGCCGCCTCGCGGCCCTGTAAGCCCTCGGCGCTCTCCTCCGGCATCTCTGGCCCGTGCTGCTCCGGCCCTGCCGGCGGGACCCGCAGCAGACCGCTCGCACCCTTATGGCCGCCCCTGCCCTTGCTTGCTCCCTTTCCGCTTCCACTATGCCCGCCCCGTCGCCGCCGCAGCCCCGCCGAGTCGGATGTCAGCGCCGTCCGTCCTGCCGCCCGTCTTGCCGCCGGCGAGCCCGGGTGCGGCTGGCCCGAAGCCAGGGCTTTCTCTACGTGCGCATTGGCCAGTGCCCGCACATTCTCCCGTCTCCGACGACTTCCCGTCATGCTCGTGTCCACTCTTCCCTACACACCAAAGGTCTTGACCTGGAGTGGGGTAGTGCAGTGGCGGTGGTGGTGGTGGTGGGGCGCCGCGGAGGGCGGAGGTGATCGTTGGCGGTTTGGCGTTTTGAGAGCGAAATGGCACCGCATGGAGCGGACGGCGGCACGGTGATCGCGCGATGGCTTATCAAGTTGCCATGCCGCCATTCTGCTACGTCGTCATTCAGCTTTGCTGCAGTGATCACGTTTACGTCGATAGAACGCGCCGGATCCAGGAGCGAAAGGTAGCGTCCGGTGGCGTCTTGCGGGCACGGGCAGCGGACCGACGAGCGGAAAGCTCGTTCTCGGGCAGATCGGCGAGGACAGGGTCGTCGTAGAGTTGGACGTTTGAGGCGTCGAGGTGGCACGGCTCAAGAAGCGGTGCAAGAATGTCGCGCGCTCCGGGGAGCCGTTGGTCGACCACAGCAACAGGGAGTGGGATGGTCCGGGCTCCAGCAAGCTGCTGCGCGTAGAGAAGGGCGTCGTCGGGTGAGCCACCTTGCGTTCCAATCCACACCACCATCATTAGGCCGGCGTCATAGACAAGAACGCTGTCGGAAGCGAGCGAGAGTGAGGAGAGTCGGGTCAGCGCCAGGGGGACTGCCGAGCCGTCTGCGCGCGGCAAGACTGTCGCCAGCTGCGGCTCGACCATCCGCGCTGCCAGCGGGTACGCGGCGTCGACAAGGCTGGTGGCCGCCAATGACCATGCGTCGAGCGTGTCGAACGGCGAGCCTACGCCAAAGATTGGTCCGCGCCACGCTGCATACAGCAGGCGAGCCATGGTGCGGAGCTCAAACGGTAGCCGGTCCAGCGCCTGCTCGGCGGTGTTGGCTCGGCCGGCGTCGGCCGCGGCGCCGGCAAGCGCCCGCAGCCGCTGCTCGAGGGCCTCACGCCCAGCCGACCGGCCGTCGGCCACTCCCAGCTTCAAATCGTCTTCTAGCTGTCGCAGCACGTCGGCGACAATCTGCTTGACCTCGACAACGGCCAGCGCGCGCGGATCGACCGCCGCCAGCGCGGCGTCGGCGTCTGGCGCAGGCACCACCTGCAGCGGGCGGGTGACGACGGTCACCGCGTCAGGCTCAAAGACTCGGACCTGAAAGTAAACCCGCCCGGGCTTGACCTCGCCCTCGTGAGCGAGCACGACTGTGAGGCCGGCGTCGGCGCTTAGCGGCGCTGTGGTGATCCGGACCGAGCCGAGCTCGTCGAGTCCGGGCTCGAGCTCGACAACTGGGCCGAGGACGTGCGCCACCTCGAGACCGCGCGGCAGGGTGAGCTCGATGACCCGAGGCGCCGCCGCCAGTGCGCGGGCGGCAAGGCATGCACTCCGGTCGAGTACCATCTGCGGCAGGACGCCCAAATCACACGCGAGAGCCCCGCCAGTGGAACGGGCCAGCGCCACCAGTGCCGGCGTCACAACCCGGTTGCCGAGCGCCGAGGTGACGACAGCGTCGATGGCCACGTCGAGCTCGTAGGCTCGTGCCGCCAGGTCGTCGAGCACGCCGAGCGCCTCGGTGTTGAGCAGCGACTCGGCGGCCGAGCTCGGCGCAGGCACGGTAGCCCCCGGCCCGTAGTTGGGATGCGCAGCAGTCACAAGGAGCACGCTGCCTCCAGCGGTGGAGCCGTGGGCGGCGCAGAGCTCAAGGGCAGCATCGAGCGCAACCGCCAGCGCGAGCTGGCCACCTGGCGCGCTAGGGGCACCGGTCCAAGACGCCACCACGGCGTCAACAGCGACGGCCGTGGCAGGCAGCGCGGCATCGACGCAGCTCTGCGCCGCGTTGGCGGCAAGCCCGGCTCGGGTAGTCTCGCCCAGTGCGCGAGCGCCGGCAACGACCCTGCCGTGGACCACATCATCCAAATGCAAATCGTAGACCGTGACCGCGCCGCCAACGGCGATCATGGCCACCCGGAGCGAGCCGAGACCGGCAGCAACCGTATCGGCCAACGCGGCACCAAGGGCAGCGCGGACTGCAGCAGCGGCATCAGACCCCGCGGCAGTGTGGTAGACAACCACCAGCAGCGGCGGGAGAGAGTGAGCAAGGCCAAGGCGGACATCAGCCGAGTCTCCTGGAGCACTCTCAGCCGGCGGAAGCGGATAGCGGACGCGCTTTGACGGAGCATCCAGCAGCGGAGGCGCACCGGGCGAAGAGTTTCCGCAGCAGACACAGTAAAAGTGACCCACCGGCTGGGCTTGCGCCGCTGAAGGAGGAGCCGCCGCTGCAGCCGAGCAATGGCTACACCACGACGGAGGGAGCTGAGCAGGAGCAGGCGGAGGAGAGACAGCAGCAGCCGGAGCCAGGAGAAGAGCTAGGGTTGGGGAGAGTGCATGGGCGTGTTCAGCAATGACATAAGAGGTAGGGTAGATGTTGGTGAGCGCAGTCGCCGCCATGCCCGTCTGCGGGGGTGGGGAGGAGAGGGCTGTGGTTCATCGACGAGTCACCGATGACGAGCTGCACAGATAGTGGGAGAGCAGGGGAAGGGGGACGGTTTGTGCGGTACCGCTTGATCCTGGGTGTCATGGGAAGTGTATGGGCATGCTCTGATCTGATCACATGTCATGTCATTGTATGTGTGTTGATTGTGGCTGATGCCCCCAAAGCCGTGATCCGTGGTTGGCATGGGGACGACAAAGGGAGGTACTTCATGACGGGGAAGGGGGTTGATGGGGGATGGCATGGGATGATGGGATTGAAGAGGTGGTTGATGAGGTAGTTACAGCGATGGAAAGGGGTGAACGCAGGCTTTCAGATGAAGACTCGTACCACTCGTACTCGCATCACGCACATCACGCGCATCGGTCGTACCCGCGTCACGCGCATCGCTCGTACTCGCATCACGCGCATCGCTCGTACTCGCATCACGCACATCGGTCGTACTCGCATCACGCACATCGGTCGTACCCGCATCACGCGCATCGGTCGTACCCGCATCACCCGCATCGGTCGTACTCGCATAACGCACATCACGTGCATCACTCGAACTCGTACTCGCAGTTGGTGGCGGTGTCTCAGTCCAGCCAGCTGGCAACACACGTGACGCCATGAGTGAGTACAGGGCGTTCTTCGAGGAGCTCCTTACACGGTACGTGGGACTGGGGAGAAAGAAGGATGGGGGCATGGGCATAGGGGGTGGTGGGGGGTGGTGGGGGTGGTGGGGAGGGGGGGGAAGGGGGAGGGGTCATGCTGTGGCGGTGGGTCAGGATGGACTGCCTGGGCCTGGGCCTGGGCCTGGTCCTGGTCCTGGTCCTGGGCCGGGGATGGGGAAGGGGGGTTTAGAGGGAGTGCGGGATGAAGGGGGAGGGGGAAGGGGGGAGGAAGGGGGAGGGAGGGGGGGGGGGGAGGGGGACCACTACCATGGGCTTCAGCCAGGGCTGGCTGCACCGCCATGGCTGAAGCTTCGGGCCATGTCGGGCTCCAAGCCACCTACCACACTCATACGCATCACACACACATACTCTCTCTCTCCTCGGGCATAGGGTCCATGGCCTGGAGTCTATCCTTCTCACCGACTCGCAGGGTGCTGTCCTGCTGCAGGTGACTCGGCCGGTTGCCGAGGACAAGGTCGAGGGAGCGGCTGACGGGGCAGAGGCTGATGCCGGCGAGGCCACTGTGCTCGAGCCTGCCATGTCGGGTGTCTTTGTCATGGCCTGCGATCAGGCCGCCAAGCTCGGCATTGGCGCTACTTCGTCTATGATCTCGTACTACGAGAACAATGTCATTGTCCAGCTCAACGTCGCCCCGCTGGTCCTCTCCTTCATCGGCTCGCACCAGGTCAACGCAGGCGCCGTCCTCGCCATGGCACCCGAGCTCTACGCCGGCCTCGAGCCGCTCTGCCGCGTCGTTATGGACTTTGAAGAGTAAAACTTCCACCGTGCCCCAAGTCAGCAACCCGATCGGCCGCGCCCATAGTGCGACTCGGCGTCGAGTCGGCTCGCTCCTTGCCCGTCGTCCGTCGCCCGACTCAACTCGTGCGCCGCCACGAGCACCACCTCACTTCCTCCCGCACCATCCCGCCATGCCTCGCCGCAAGGGTGTGCCTATCCAACGAGGAGGCCCACCCGAGGTGGCTCTTGCACCATCACCTCGCCCGTCCAAGCGGGCCAAGTCTTCGCGTCCGTCGCCGTCGCTGGCCTCGGCCCTCGGTCCGCCGCCGGCAGGTGATCCGCCGGTCGGCAGCCTGACCCTCGCCGACGACGCGGCCGTACCTGCTGGAGCCGACATCGGCCACATCGACGACTTGGACCAAGTGCTCCCGCCTGCGGTGCTAACGCCGCTGCGCGCCTTGCCACTCGCGGCCTCCTCGCCGCTTACCACACCCAAGACGGCAGGCGCGTCGACCTCGTCCTCGTCACCGCCGCCGAGGCCTCGTGGCCGGCGCGGCGCTCCGATCTCCGCAGGCTGCTGCACCACTTTCTCGGTCCGCATACCACTTCGCAGCTCTCGCCACTCCCAAACTACACCGCGGTTGTCTACGAGGCCGGCCGCCCATCTGGCACCGAGCCGCAGCTCGATCGGGCCCGCACGCCACCGGCCCTCGTTCCCACGCTGCGGCCGTATCAGGCCCGCGGCGTCCAGTGGATGCTCGACCGCGAGAACGAGCCCGGCGAGGCAGCCTCGGTTGCTTCTGGCATCCATCCGCTCTGGCGTCCACTCCCCACACCGGCGTCAGCCGATCCGGACGCCCCACCGCAGTGGTACTGGTGCCTCTCGAATGGCGAAGTCTCGCGGAATCCACCGCCGCCGCCGCTCCTCCCGCGCGGCGGTCTGCTCGCTGACGAAATGGGCCTTGGCAAGACCGTCGAAGTGCTCTCGCTTCTCCTTGCCCATCCCGCGCCGCCCACATTCCCCACGTTGGAACCAGCGATCGGAGCCCGCGCGGACCGAGTGCAGCGGACCCGCGTCTGCGGCTGCCCGCTCCCGCTCCCACCCCGCCTCAAGCTCACTTGCCACGGATGTGGATTGCTGGCATGCAGTCGATGCGCGGATGAAGACTCAATCTCCGACGACTGGTGGCTCTGTGTCGAGTGCGCGACCGAGTACGCGCTTGTCGATCAGGCCGGCTGGCGGATCAAGACGACGCTCATTGTCTCCCCGACGCTCATTGCTCACCAGTGGAAAGACGAGCTTGAGCGGCACGCGACCCCCGGCGCGCTGCGTATTCTTATGTACGACGGCATGGCCAAGTCTGGGTGGCTTCCACCTTCGGTCCTCGCCTCGTACGATGTGGTCATCACTACCTTTGCCGTCCTCTCCTCCGAGCTCAACCACGTGTCGGTCGGCAAGTTTGCCAACAGACTCCGCCGCAACCAGCGATACGTCCCACTCTCTACCCCACTTACCCGGCTAGTCTTTTGGCGCGTTGTTTCCGACGAGGCGCAGATGATCGAGGGCGCGTCTCGCGCCGCCGCCCTTGTCGCAGCCGTCGCCGCCGATCGCCGCTGGTGCGTGACCGGCACGCCGGTTGCCGGCGGCCTTGCCGACATCGCGGGCATGCTCCGGATCCTCCACGCCGAGCCGTACACCGTCCCGCGCGACTTTAAGCTTACCCTCGGCGCAGGGACCAGCGAGGCGCTCGACGAGCTGACCGGCCTCATGAGCGCGCTTGTGTGGCGGACGCCCAAGGCCGACGTTGAAGCCGAGCTCGGCCTCCCAGCTCTCACCTCGGTTGTTCACACCATCGAGTTCAACGCCGTGGAGAAGATCCACTACCGCCGGCTATTCACCGATCTGGCAGCGTCAGTCGGCGACCTCCTGGCCTCGACCGGCGTCTCGGCCTCCGACGTCGTTCCTCCGGCGCTACAGTCGATGCTCACCCGCCTGCGACAGGCGTGCTGCCACCCCAACGTAGGGCGGCCGACATCCCGTCCGGGTGCGTCCACTGGTGGAAGCAGCAATGGGCTCGTCCGCAACACACTCTCCATGGGTGAGCTCCTTGCCCAGCTCATTACCCGCGCAACCGTCGACGCCGAGGAGGCGCAGCGGCTGTACATCATGTCGCGAAACGGACTCGCGGGTGCGGTCCTCCTCGCCACGCCGCCAGACTATGCCACAGCTGCTTCGCTGTATCGCGAGACCCTCACGCTAGTCACCAACTCGGCAGCCGAGATCGCCACCGATACGCTGCAAGTTCTCCACGCGCGGCATCATCTCCACTGGGTGGTTACTCACGCGCCGCCCGGTGTCGTCCCGGCCAGTGCTGCATTGCCTGATGAGGCAGCGCTCGGCGAGGTTGTGGCGGGTATGCGCGACCGGTTCGTCGGCTCGGCCGTCCATGCGGTCGCCGCCGCCGCCGCTGAGCTGGCGGCGGCGACCAAGGCTGTGAGAGGCGTCATGAACGAGCTCGGCTTTGACACCCGTGCTGGAGTGTGGAAGACACCGTGGTGGGCGAACCCGATGCAGCGGCTGGCGTCGATCGACGCTGCCTTTGCCACCTTTGTCAACACCTTTGTCAACGAGAACGGCTCGCTGGCGGCCTCGGAGGCCCGTCCGCTTCTCATCCGCTATCTCTACGGCAAAGCCGCTGTACTGGCCTACGACGCCGATGCCGACGAAGAGGCCGGTATGGCCGGCGGAAAGCGACGGCGCAAGAAAAACGATGGCCCGCTCCGTGATGGCACACCGCTGCTTCATGTCATGGCCATGGCCTGCGACGAGCTTTTCAACGCTCGCGCCGCCGTTCTCCGCTCCGCCGCCTCCCGCAGGCGCGAACTGACCGAGGCCGACGTCGATGAGCTGCTGGCGTGCCCGCGGTGCAATCCGAACCTCAACGGCGAAATTGACGACGCTGTCAACATGTCGCTTGTCCCCACCGCACAGCGCAGCGGGGTGGCGTCGTGCACCTGGTGTGCTGCCGAGGACGTCATCAAGACCTACGAGCGGTTCCTGTTCCAGGGCGAGTCCGAGGCAATGACCGCGGACGAGCTCGAGCTCCGCTCCCGCCGCGAGCAGCTCGAGCGGGAGCGGGCCGAAAACGCTCGCCGCGACCTGCTCGCCCGCGCCGATCGTGGCGCCCGCGAAGCCGCCGACGTCCAGCGTGCCCGTGCCAACACCTCGCTCGCCATCGTGTGTGACGCTCTGGCGCGGTTCGTCACACGCTACCCACAGTGGACGCTCGAGAACGATGACGACGCGCCGGCGCTCAATGTGCAGTTGCAGCAGGTGAGCATGGCGAGCAGCAAGACTCGGGGCCTGTTTGCTGAGCTCAAGAAGGAGCTTGTTGCGGCGCGCTCTTTCTGGCGTGGTCAAGTTGACGAGCTGCTGCGGCGCGACGAGCTGCGGATGACGCTCTCGCGCATCCGGCTCGCTGCGCCGGGCGAGGTTGTCCCACCCAGCCTGCAACACTTTGTCATTCATCCGGGAACTGTTGACGCAGTTGTGGCCAACTACCGCAGCGAGATCCGCGTCCACCGCGGCGCGCTCAACTCGGCCAAGTCGCAGCTTCACTACCTCAAGCAGCTGCGGGCGGTGCGGTCGGCCAACTATGCCGCCGAGCCATGTCCGATCTGCCACGAGGCGCTCGGGACCGAGGTTGTGCTATTCACCTGCGGCCATCTCTTCTGCCGCTCATGCATCACCGCCATGGTGGCCGGCGCCCGCCACCGGAGCTCGCTTCCGTGCCCTACCTGCCGCAATCGGGTCGTCATCGCCGAAATCTCGTACCTCTCCAGCGACGAAGTGGCGGCCCCGAGCGAAGGGCTTGATGACGACGGTGCCTTGGGCGGTGTGCGGACGGCGCGGCGGCTGACCTCGCTGGTCAACGGCGAGGATGTAGTGTCGAGCTCGGGCACCAGCGGTTGTCGGCCCAAGGTGTGGGATCTGAGCGTGCCGACACGGGCGCCGCTGGCGGCAGCGTGGTCGTCCAAACTTGACGTCGTTGTCCTGCAAATTGTCAAGCTTGTCGAAGCCCGGCCGGCGGTCAAGATCCTTGTCTTTTCGCTCTGGTCAGCGCTGCTCAAGATCCTCGAGTCCGCGCTGGCGGCGCAGGGGGTGTCGACAATGAGCATGGCCGGCGCATCGGGCGCGCGGGCCAAGTTTCATGCCACGGTTGAGGCCTTTCGGAGCGCAGAAACCAACGTCCTCCTCCTACCGCTCAACTTTTCTGCCAACGGCATCAACCTCACCGAGGCGTCGATTGTCTTTCTCCTTGAGCCGCAGACCAACGCCGCTGTCGAGGCACAGGCAATCGGGCGAGTCCATCGCATCGGCCAGACACTGGCTACCTCAGTCTACCGGTTTGTCATCTCGGGCTCGATCGAGGAGGCCGTGGCGCGGGTCGGCGCGGCGCAGCTTGCCGCTGTTGCCGCCGGTGAGCGCAAGGCGAGCTCGCGGAGGGCAGCGGCGAGCGCCGCGCTCACGGTCGCCGACGTGTACTCGATGTTTGGCCGAAGCCTAGGTGCGATGCCCGGTGCGGTTGATGGCGGCACAATCGATGAGGACGACGGCGACTCGGAGCCGCTTACGCTCGGCGAACTGCAGGTGCAGGCCCGGTTCTGGCGCGAGTCCGTCATAGTGCCACCGCCGGTCGGGCGAACCGGCGAGGCCGCCAAGGAGATGAGCCGTGCGAGCGCAGTGCGGACGCTCGAGCATCGCCACGCCTATCAGCGGCTACAAGCATCGATATCCTCGACTCCAGGTGGGAATGGCAGAGTCAGTGTGCCGCGCATGGTTTACCTTGGCCGTGCCAACACGGCAGCGGCGGTGGTGGTCGAACTGGCGGGCCTGGCCGCGGTCGGCGAGCGCGAGGCGCTCCCGTCCCGGCTGCAGGCGCTAAGCGATGCGCAGGTACGCGAAGCGCGCGCGCTGCTTACAGCGACAGCGCCAGTTCCGGGCGGGCCGCAATGATGGCGCGCAGCGCGCGCGAGCTCGTCCGGGTCGTCCCCAGCTGCAGTGTGGCGAGGCGCGGAAGCGCCGAGTTGCCGGTCAGCGCGTGGGCAAAGGCGTCGCCGACGCCGGCATTGCGCGAAATGTCGAGCGAGCAGAGATTCGGCGCCGAGTATGCGATCTCCACGGCGCCGTCATCGGTTAGTTGCTTACACGAGCGGAGGGCGAGGTGGCGCAGGTCTGGCAGAGCATCAAACGACGGGCAGAGCTCGTCGGTCAGCCCGCCGCAGTGCGAAAGATCGAGGGTCTCTAGCCGGTACATGCAGCGGAAAACGTGGCGGAGAGCGGGTGTTGAGACTGGCACGAATCGGAGCGCAAGCTTGCGGAGCGCCTGCAGCCGGCGGGCGAGTGTCCGCACCGTCTCGTCGGAGATGTGGGTTTGCGAGAGATCGAGAGCCTCGAGCTGGACGTTGTGAGCAATGGCGGCGCCGACGGCGCCGTCGCCGATCCGTCGGCACCCGGCAAGGTGCAGCTCGCGGAGCGAGGAGCATCCCTGGAGAAAGCCGGCCAACGCTTTGTCCGAGAGTCGGACCGCGCCGGAAAAGTCAGCAATTTGCAGTGCGTCCGGCGAGCAGTGGGCCTCAAAGGCGGCGAGGCCTGTATCGGTCATACGCCCTACGTTGCGGAGGCGGAGGACCCGGAGTGCAGGCCCTGCGGCGCGCGCCACAGTCGCGAGGCCAGCGTCGGTGACCAGCCGGCAGTCAGTGAGATCGATGGTGTGGAAGGCGGCATTGAGGCCAGTAAATATCGCATTCAGATGCGCGTCGGTGATGTACGAGCACCCGTCGAGCGAGATGGTGCGCAGCGCGGGAGCTACCGCCACCAGCCGCGCCGTCACATGCGCGCACTGCAAGATCGAGAGTGGCGGCGACTGAGGAAAGGCGACCGTGGACAGCGCCGACCACATACCACCATCAGCACCATCGGCACCCTGGTCGCGCGACCAGAGCGGCTCCAGAAGCGCCATCTGGGGCGGCAGCGTCGGCAACCGCGGAAGAGTGGTGAGAAACGCGGCAGTGGTCCGCGCGAGCTGCTTCGGCTGCATGATCAACATGTCGGCCTCGGCGGCCTTCATCGACATCAGAGTCCTGCGGGCTGCGCGGCGCTGCGCCATCGATAGCGGGCCGAGCTCGGCCAACGAGCAGGCGGCATAGAGCGCAGGCGTCGAAGCCAGCGCACGCATCTTGCCTGAGACGGCGCGAAGGCGGAGGCGATCGGCAACCGGTAGAAGTGCCATGATGCGGAGGAGCACGGCATCCGGCAAGAGAATGAGATGGATAGCCTGGGTGGAGGTCATTGCGGGTAGAAGCTGAGCCGCAATGCAGAGTAGGGAGAGTGGTATGGCTTTCTGCTGCCACATCTCCAGCCATGACCCCGCTACCATTGCTGTGGACAATCACTCCGCTCGCCGAGCGAAACCATCGATTCGGTTCGATTGCGAGCCATCGAAGCAGATCGAACACGTTTCGACGAGGCTATGGCGGATCGACCAGCAGTCGGCGGCGTTGACGCCAATTACAATCGTGTGGGTATGCATGCAAGTCACGGCCATCAGCAGAGGCGGCGGGGAGGGGATAGTGCCGACAAATAAAAGAAAAGGCAAACATTGCCAAAGTGCCCAACAGTCGCTCTGAGGCCAGTGCCTCGCCCTCCATGGTGGCGGGCACCGTCTCGGCTGGCTTTCTCGGAGGCCACACGACTCGAGACCATGCTGCGGGCGTGTGCGCAAGGCGACGCGGATGAGGTGGCACGGCTACTTGCGTTGCAGCCGCTTTCTGCGCTGGCGCGGAGCGAGGCAGGCGAGACGGCAGCGCACGTGGCGGCGCGGGAAGGACAGGCGGCGGTGCTGGAGATTCTGCTGGGCAATGGAACGGCAGCCGGTGGGGCGGATCCGTGCGCACGAACGCATCCTGATCTACGGACCCCGCTGCTGGTGGCGGTGTATGGTGGCCATCGTGCGGCGGTGGCGGTCCTGCTCGCCCGGACCGAGGCGCTGCATGCTCAGGACGCGTCGGGCGCGTCAGCGCTGCACGCCGCCATCGCCTGTGGCGAGGCCGACATTGCCGAGATGGTGTTGGCGGCGGCGGTGGCAGAGGGCGAGGAGGCGGTGCGAACGGCGGTGGCAAGTCGAACGTGGGCCGGCGCCATTCCGCTTCATGCTGCGGCACTGCAGGGCGCTGCAGAGGTGGTGACGACTCTGGTGGATGCTGCAGCTGGCGTCGACGGCGCCCTCGTCGAAGAGATGCTGGCTGGACGGACAAAGGGTGGCGCTACCGCGCTCATGCTTGCGGTGCTCGCTGGGAGCACTCATGCGGTGGATGTCCTGCTGACAGCAGGCTCTGACAAGATGGTGGCGATGCGAGCAAAGGAGTCTGGCGCCAACGCGCTGCACTTTGCTGCGGTCTGCGGCGACGCCACCATCTTTGCTGCACTCCTGCGGCGGGCGCCGGGGCTGGCTAGCAGCTACTCGCGGCATGGGCTGACGCCGGTTCATGTCGCAGCCGCCCATGGCCATCACCAGCTTGTGGCGGTTCTCGTGGACGAGCTTGATGGCGACGAGCTGGCTACGGTGCTGGCGCAGGTGACTGTTGCACGTAGCGGGGTGGGAATGTGGAGCCTGGCCTGACGCCGGAAGACGTAGCGCGGCTGTTTGGCAAGGAGCAGGTCATCCGTGCGCTTGATGAGGCAGCGTGACAGGTGCGGCAGCTGCAGCCGCAGCCGCAGCCTCCTACCTTTACTCGGGAGTTGACTCGAGGCCGAGATCGGCGAGCACGGTGCTAGCCTGGGCCTCGACCTGGTCGATGATGCGCTGAACCTCGGGAAGAATAAGTGAGTCGCCGACCGTGTTGGAGCCTTCGCCCTGGTGGGGGAGGTCTGCGGCCGGCGGCTCCGCCTCGGGCGATGGGGCTCTGCGTGCCGGCAGTGGCAAGCCGCGAGCACGTAGATGGCGCAGAAGCTCGTCGTAGTCGTTGCGGAGGGAAGACTCACGAGCGAGGGCGCGCTTGAGGCGAGCGCCGGTGTCGTCGAGTACGCCGTAGAGGAGCTTGAGCTCGTTGGCCATGCGCCGGTTGTCGCGGACGATCTGGCGGGTCTCGCGCGAGATGACCTCGAGCGTCGCCTGCTTTGCCCTCTGCTCGAGGTGCTCGAGGCGATCCTGGTAGAGCTGGGCAGCTTGCTCGACCTGGGCATTAAGCGAGGCCTCCTGGTCGGCGAGCGACTCGATGTTGGCCATGCGCGAGGCGTGGAGCTCGGCCTGCAGCGAGTCCAGCTCCTCTAGAATAAAGTCTTTGGAGGCCTTGAACTCGCGAAGCTCGATGGTCTCGACCTCCAGGCGTTCGTACTCGTAGTGGGCCGAGTCGAGCTCGGACTCGAGCTCGAGAATGCGGGCCTCGTACTTGTGGGCCACCGCGGCAAGCTCGGCCTCAAACGCCGACGCCGACGCCGACAGCTTTGACTGCGTCGCCGACAGCGTCGCCTCGCGATCGGCGAGCTCCTGGTTGAGAAAGGAGATCATGAGCTGCGGATCACGGTCATCGTGAGCAAGCGCCGTCCGTAGAAGCGTGTTCTCTCGTGACAGCCGCTGGACCTGGCCCCTGTACTTGGTCACCTCCAGCCCTTCTTTCCGCAGCGCCTCCCTCAGTTTGCGCACCTCCTCGGTCTTCTCGGCCAGCTCCCTCTTGGCCTCGCGCCCGCCGGTAGCCTTCCCGCCTCTGCCACGCTTGCCGGTCTTCCTTCCCCGCCCCACCACTCCTGCTGCAAGCCCAGCTACTGTCCCCGGCCCCACCGTGGCCTCCGCCTCGCCCTCCTGCATCCACTCCTCGGCCTGAGGCGTGTCGTCAAGTGCTGCCGCCCATCTTGGCCGGGCTGCCTACAACTGGCAGAGTGAGGGGCAGCGGGGGTGTTACTCATCGTTCCCGCCATCGTCGGGGTCGTCGGCGTCGGCGCGCTCGATGTCGTCGGGAATGTCGATGGGGACCACGTCGCCGTCATCGTTGATGTGAGCCTCGCCCTCAAAGTAGCTGATGTCGGCAGCCATGAAGCGGAAGGTGTACGGGCCGTCGATGCCAGGTGCTTCTGGCTGCGGAAAGGCGACGGTCGGCGGCGTTGTGGTGCCGGCAAAGAACTGCGGCCACGACATGGCGAGATCGACGGCCGGGCGGGCCTGCCCGTTGGCGTCAAAGACCTCAGCTCGGACATCATTGAGCATACGGGCAAACATGGCCGGTGGGGCGTAGAGCGTGGCCTCGATCTTGCGGAACTGGTTGTGGGTGTAGTAGAGCTCCTGCGAGGACAAAAGTGCCGCTGCCCGCGCGACAGCTGGATCCGGGTTGTTGACCACGGCAAGCCCGCCCTGGGTGGGGTGGGCGAGGATGAACTCGTCGACGACAAAGTGTGCGGTCTCGGGCGTGATGAGCGTGCCATCGGCATCGTGCCCGCGGCAGATAAACGTACGTCGCCAGCCTCGGACATGACGCCGACAAAGGTGTCCGGGTGCGGGGCCGGCTTGTCAAAGGCCGAGACAAGCGGGATGAGGAGCGACGCCATGCAGCGGCCGGAGAAGACTACGTCGAGCGCCTTGCCGTTCTTTCGCAGCCGCACATCAACCGTCACTCCGGTCGCCAGATGCCGAGTTGGCGAGTTGTTGCGGGCCGTGATGAACGCAGCCTCAAAGGCTTCGTTGTGGTGGACGGAGGCCCGGGCCGGCGAGGTGATGAAGACCGGCGAGTGGTAGAGCGCCACCAGATCAGCGTAGTCCTCGGCACGGAGCGCGCCGCACGCGCGGTACTCTGCAGGATGTAGCGGGAAAACGCCGACAAAGCCGTGCGGCATAAAGTCGGCGGTGTGGAGCGGAGGCTCAGAGGACCATCGCTCGCTGCGGCCGGGGCCTTGGCGGGTTCCAGTCAGGACAGGGTCAGCCACCAGCAGCGCGCCCTGATCGCCGTGATCATGTGGGTCCTGGTTGGTAAACGTCCATCCCATGGTCTGGGCCGTCTCACCAGGGTAGAACGTCGGCCCGTCGCTCTGCATCTGCAAGAACAGTCCGTTGGTCTGTGCCACCGATTCCATCAGCTCCTGGTTGGTCTCGGAGCCAAGCGGCAGATGCCACACAGCCTCGGTTCCAGTCACCCACGACCAGCCAAAAGTGACTACAAGCGTATGCGGCGGACATCCGAGCTTGCTTGCCTTCTCTTCGTCCAGCGCCACCGCCATCGTGCTCGAATCAGGCGAGAGGGTGTCCACCACCGCCGTGCTCTCTACGCCCAGTCGAGCGGCGATAGCCTTGCGGTACGCCTCGCGAGCAGATGCAAGCTCTTCCGCGCTGCCGCCTTCCCACACCTTACTAGTAGTCACACCCATGAACGCTCTTGACAGAAACAAATGTGGCGTGTCCGCACGCGTCGACCTTGTATGTGTCGGTGTCGGTGTGTCTTGAGGAGGGTCACTCGCCTTTCTATTCTTCGAAACTTGGGCTCATTGCTTTTTTTTCGATGGAAACCGAAGCCTTTTCTTCGCCATGGCCGACAGCATTGCCATCATCACCAAGCCACACATCAGCCGCACAACAGCCACATATCAGCATCAGCCAAAAGTAACATGGGCTCGCCGTGCTTGACAACCGATCAGCTCACCCGCGGGGCTTTGACGCATAAGCAATCAATGAGCATATGTTAATCGTGCCCACATGCGGCGCGTTGGGCAGGTGAGATTGCTGAGTGCTATCTGACTCTGTCGCTAGCTCGTGTCATGGGCAACGCTGAAAGCCAAGTCAGCGGACGCATGCGACGTGCGAGCGAGCCCTTTGCAAGGGCAACAGCTACCGCTGAACCAACCCATGTGCAGACCAATGATGATGCAGAGTCTGCTGCTTCCCTCCCTGTCACCGCTATCCTCTCCTCCTTGGCTCGCCCAGATTCATGTACGTTCCCCCCCCCCCCCTCCTCCTCCTCCTCCCTGCCCTCCCCTGCCCTCCTCCTCCCCACACTGACGGAACATATGGCCTTCCCCCGACCACCACCTCCTCACCCCCCCCCCCCCCCCCCTCACCCCCATCCCCTTCTCCCGCTGTGCAGCTGGTGCTCGAGACCTACGGCATGAGATTGCTTCCGTTCTGGCTGCAGGTGGGGCGCTGACCTCGATCGACTCGAGGACTCGCGAGGTGGAGCACATGCTGGAGGAGATCATGGCGGTGGCGAGGCATACTGGGCATGATGAGAGTGGCAGAGAGGAGGATGCTGCTCTGCCGCCGCTCCCGCCGCCGATTAGACATGTCGAGTCGCCGCATCCGTACCGCAACTCCATGGACGAGACGTGGCAGGTGGAGATTCCCGGCGCACAGGGTCTGGCCCTCTCCTGGGCGCCCAACTGCAAGACCGAGACGCGGTACGACAAGGTGTATGTGTACCGATCAGCAGGCCACTCTGACGAGGTCGCCATGTTTACCGGTACCAACTTTCGTGGGCTCACTATCGACAACACCGATCGGGTCTACATCCGGCTCGTCACCGACTCCTCCAACACCGAGTGGGGCTTTGCGGTCGACATCGCCGCCACAGCCATGGCTGGTCCACTCACAGCACCGCCGCCTGCACCGCACCTGCCGGCTGACCTCGCCCATCTCGCTTCCGCGTCCGGCGCGCCTGGCGCTACCGCTGGCGCCGCCGATGCCGCTGCGATGCAGGCCGCCGCCACCAACACTATGCTCGCGTGCGTGGTGGAGCTGATGAAGGCGCAAGCCGCCACTTCGCCGCAGCTCAACACCTTTATCCTCTCGGCTTTTGCTGACCTCATGGCTGGCGCCGGGCCGGGCTCGCTCCTCGACGTCTCGCCGCTCATCGGCACCGCCCTCGACCACTTTCGCCGCTACGTCGCCGAGCTCATGGCTGCCGACGACACGGTCGCGCGGCAGGCCCTCCTCCCGCGCGAGCTCGAGCCCAAGGTCACCATGCTCATGGCTGCCATGCCCATTGCATCGGGTTCACTCGCGGCGCTGCTCCATCTTCTCCCACAACTCTTCTCAGGCGGCTCGTACAACACGCCAATTGCCCTCGCCCCGCAGCTAGCATCATGGGCGCGGTGGCAGGCAGAGCTGCCCTCGCCCGGCCCGGCTGCGCTGGCTATGCACATTCCGGAAGATCCGCCCATCGCCTCGTTCTTTGTGTGTCATGATGGCGACCGCGTCGTGCCTGGCAAGGTCACCTCGGACGGGACGACGCTCTTTGCGCTCCACGCCTCTACGATCCTTGCCGTCGCTACCGGCTTTGGCGCAGCCCGCGCCGGCTCGGTCGTTCGCGCCGCAGTTGTCCAGGGCCTCTCGTCAGGCGCTTGTCGTGGCCTCTTCTTCTTTGCAGGCACCGGCCTCATTGCATTTACCGACTCGGGCCGAGTCGTTCGCATCTCGCCCACCACCCTTGCTGTGGAGGCCACTGACATGGTGCCCGAAGAGTTCTCCACCACTGCCCAGCTCTGCTCCGACGGCGTTTATCTCTATGCTGTTGCCTACTCGGCCGCGACGACTACCACAGTTGAGGTCTATCATCCTTCAGACCTCGCCCACCCTCTGCGAACTGTTGCCGTCGCCCACGTTGTGACTGCCAGCGAGCGGGTCTATTTGCCGTACACAAATGGCGAGGTCATGGTCTTCCCGTCCGCAAATCGACTCGTCGCAGTCTCGCTGCGGTCTGGCGACCTCGTCCGCTCCCGTCCAATCTCGCCTGCTGAGCCATCGGCGCTCACCGAGCCGCTGCCGGGCTTCCCCGCCCCGCTCCGCTCGGCATTGCTTCGTGCGTACGATCCCGCCACCAACGCGGTGTGGGTTGTCGCTCAGTGTGGTCTCGTTGCTGCGCTCCCCTGCCCAGGAATCGTCCACCCTGTCCCGTCCGACATCGTCCATGCGCAGGCCCGTGCCTCTATTCTTAGTCCCTTCGTTGAAGTGGGCCGTGCTGGTGCGTCTTTGAGTGGAAGCGTGCTCACCCAAGGCCGTGCCGGCTTTGCCATGCTCCATCTCATCGACTTTCACCTGGCGCCTCTGCTTCCGACCTGGCTCGCTGCCGGCGATGAGAGCGGATCGGCACTGCCGCTCCCGGTCTCGGCAGAGTCGCAATGGGTGAGCAAGCTGCCGTTTGCGCTCGAGTTTGCGCCGCACGCCGACGTGTTTGGCCCGATGGTGGACCTGCTCCGCGCTGCTGCTGTTGCCGCCACGCCCACCGGGTGGTGGTCAGACAAGGTGGCAGGCACAGCGCCGATCTCCAACGCTGACTGGCTCGGCCTCTCGGACGCGCCGCAGGCCGACCGCATCTACGCGCTTCTTGTCGTTCTTCGCATGCTCCTTACCCAGTGCGTTCACCTCTCGCGGTTTGGTCGCTCCGCCGCCGACTACGGCATGACCCGCAGCGTCTCGTCCGCGCTGGTCGAGATGCTGTACGGACTCATCAATTTTCCGCTCGAGGCTACGTGGGCGGCGGCGCAGCTTGCTGCCGCCAAGCGCGTCCGAGCCCACGCGCTCGAGCTGGCATCCGGCGTTGGCTTTTCGCACGTCTTCCCCTCTACCGACCAACAGCTCGCAGTCTTTGCCGATCTCCTCGCAACGCCGGCTGCCGAGCTCGCGCCAGGCAAGGCACGTGTTCTCGGTGCGCTCATCTCATCCGAATCCGACTCGATCTTGGCGTCCTTGGGCGACGCTGGCGCCGTCGACGCGTCGCGGAACACCCTCTTTGCCATCCTCGCTCAGCTCGCCCGTGCTGTCGAGACTGTTGCCGCCCGTGCGCCGGTCAGCGAGCTTGTCGCGTCGCTTGCGAGTCCTGCCTTTGACGCCGTCGCCCGCGACATGCACTGCTCTGAAATCGATCGCTGCCTCGGCGACCTGGCGGCTTCGCCGCTGGTCGAGCTTCTCGTCCGGGCGCAGACCGTCCTCCACGCTGCGCCTAACCTCGACGGCCTCGCTAGTCTCAAGGCCGACTACGTGGTCCGCCTCTTGGAGCATGCCATGACCGAGCTCGACCGTGCCGATGAGCTGGCGGCGGCGCTGCTGGCGGAAGCACCTGTCGCGACAGGCGCGTGCGCCGAGCTCCGAGCCGCAGTGGTCATGCGTGCTTTTGACAGTACCTACGGCCAGCTCCTCCCGCATGCGCTTGCCGAGTCTCTTGCTGCGTTGAAATCCTATCCGCGGTTTGCTGGGCGAATGCACGGCCTCCTCGCCGCTGTCCTCGCCCGGGCCGAGGCCATTCAGGCTCACTTTGGTCTCGAGGGCGAGGCCGGCTCCGGCTCCTCGCTCCACATGCCACAAGTTGTCGAGTCGGCGCATCCGTATCCCAACAACGACGACCGCGAGTGGACGATTGCATTTGACGGCGTCGCCGCCATCGAAGCCGTCTTTGACGCCCGCTGCTCTTCCGAGTCGAACCGCGATACGCTCACGCTCACAGACTCGGCCAACAGGCTGTACGCGTTCTCCGGGCCCAACTGGCAGCAAGAGCCGCTGCAGCTCACAGGCCCAACCGTATTTGTCTCGTGGCAGTCCGACTACTCGAACAACGACTGGGGCTTCCGCATCACCTTCCGGCCGCAAGTCCGTCAGCCGTTGGTTCTCGACTCTGTGGCGTCAGCCGCATCGTGGTCGCTCGTCCACGCCCTCGCGTGTATGGTCGGCGAGTCCGATCCCGAGGCACCCGACGTCGCCTCGCTTTCGCCGCTCGAGCGCAAGTGGCTTGAATCGCCGCTCCTTCACAACGGCTACCGCGAGCCACTGACGCCGGAGGCCAAGGCTGAACTGTTGCTGCTTGTCGGCTCGCTTGCCGATTATGCTGCTGATGCAGTCACCCCGCTGGTGCTAGCCTGGGACGATCCAGCTGACATTGCGCTGTACCACACTTTTGTCGCTGTTCACCTCCACCACGCGTCGGCTGTTGGCGCCGCCTCCAGCCTGGCGGCCGCGCTCGCGGCTGGCACTCGCCCGATCAAGCCGCCGGCGTGGCTTGCCGCCGCGTGGGAGGCCGCTGGGAAGACGCTCAAGTGGCTGGAGGGCTTGCTCTCAGCCGACAAGTCGGCGGCTAGCTCGACACAGCTCACCAGTTCGATCACCGCTGAGCGCCGGAGGAGCATGGTTGCCGAGCTCTTGACCAAGGCTGACTTTCTGCTCTCGCTAGAGCCGGCGTGTTCGACCGAGCAGGTGTTTGTGGCCAAGGCTGAGGGTCCACCGGTGGCCGACAAAGCCGCGCCTGGCGACAACAGCGATGCAGGCACGCGGGCACGGGCGCGGTGGCACAAGGCCATGCGCGCCGCGCGCATTGTCTCGCGCTTCAAGTCGTGGCAGTCGGCCATGAAGACTGGCTCGGAGCGCCGGTCGCGGGTCCTGAGCATTGGCGCACTCTCGGCCGCCATCCACGGCTTTGTTGCCACCAAAGACGCGCTCAACGCGTTGAGCCTGACCGAGCTGCTGCAGGCGCAAAAGATCAAGGCCCAGTTGCGGCTCGCCGGCTTTCATGGTGTGCAAGCGCTACTGCATCCGGCAGAGCCCGGAAGCGCGGTGCTGGACGCCTCGCTCAAGGCGGTCCTCCTGCACGAGCTCGGCCTGGCGTTTGCGTCGATGTCGCTGCGCGACATGCTCGCTGCGCCACGGACGCTCTCTGAGCAGTGCCTCCGCGCCCAGTTTGAGCTGCTGGCGTCGATGGCAAATGGGCTGACGCTCGAGGCTGCGGTGTCAGGTTCAAGCTCGCCCATCGAGCGTCAGCTGCTCACGGTTGCCCTGTGCAACGTCCAGCTTCCGGACGCGCCGAGTGACAAGAGCCTCTTTCTGCAGTCGGGCGTGCTGGACAAGTTGCTGGACCTGCTGCGGGTGTGCCGCGGTTCGGACGCGCCATCACAGCACCTGTGGAAGACGACCATGCTCGTGGCCTCGTCGCTAGTCATCCAGATGGTGAGCACGCTTGATCTGGGCTTGGACGGCGCCGCAGCCATCGGCTCGCGGCTGGTGGACGTGCTCATGACCGCTCTCGAGGCCGTGCGCCCTAGTATGCCGCAGCAAGCGGTTGTTGCGGTTCTGACTCTGCTGGCGCAAGTCGCGCGCCGGGCACCGCCTCAGCTGGTCCAGCGCGAGCTCTGCAACCCACCGCGGCTGGCGATGCTGCTACAGACGGCGCGTTGCCACGAGAGTGTCGAAGTTTTGAGCGTTGTTCTCTCACTGCTCGGCGACATCCTGCCGGGCGCGTCCGAGCCGGGCGCGCTTGCTGCCCAGGTTGTGGTCGGCACGGCTAGCATTCCGCTTGTCCAGGCGCTTGTCCAGGAGCTTGCTCGTTGCCTCTCCGGCGAGTACGTCACGGTGGGATTGAGCGTCTTTGGCTGCGAAGTGCAGTCTTGGGACGATGCTCAAGGTCTTGCCTCTGATCTCGCCGCGCTTGTTCGTAAGCTCCTCGATGCGTCTGCCGCGTGGGGCGAGGTGACAAGCACGGTGCTGGATGACGCATTGATGGGAGCGTGTGTGCTCACCACGGGTGTTGCGGACGGGTCGATCAGAAGCATGGACGACTTTCTCGCTGCGCCCGAAGTGGTCCGTGGTGCATGGCAAAGTGCGGCTGCGCTCTACGTGCTTGGCTCGGACCTCCCGCTGCTCCGGGCTGGTGCGGCAGCAAACGCGGTGGCCGACGGCGAGCGCATGCGCCACGGGCGGGTGCTCGCGCTGCGACCGGCGCATGCGCTCTTCCTCGCCGACGGGGCGCAGACGCTGTCTGCGGTGTGGCTCCCGCGCGAAGTGCTCAAGCCCCGGCCACTCGCGCCTGTCAAGCGGCCGCTGGTGGGCGTGGTGTCAGAGCGTGCGCGCGACGCCATCTCTGCACTTGCGTTCTCGTCTACTGGAAACAGCTTTGCGAGCGACAAGTCACTGTCGGCGGTCTGGGCCGAGCTGCAGTGGCGGGCACTTGAAGTGGTTTCTGCCCTGGTTATCGAGGCGCCACAGGCGCTGGGCGATGACTACCTGCTCACGCTGCTCAATTCGCTTGGCTCTGCAGGCTCGTGGACGCTCGAAGCCGATGCAAGCGCGGCGCGGCGGCTCATTCCGACCATTGCGTCGCGGGCAGCCGGGCAGGGCGTGGTGCCTGGCGGCGGCGCCGGCGGCGTTTCGCACGCGTCTGAGACAGTCTCGGGCGAGCTGTTTGAACCGCTACTGGCCAGGCTCTCGACCGGGAGCTTCAGCCTCAGTGCGTTTGGTGAGGTACCGGCGACGATCATCGAGCGGGTCTCGTTTGAGGAGCTGCCGCTGCCACCGGGATGGGAGGCGCGGGCGACAGACCTCGGCCGGCTGGTGTATGTCAATCACACGTCACGGACAACACAATGGGAGGATCCTCGTGGCGAGGCCGCGCTCTCAATGTCGACAATGGTTGCTGGATCTGGGACTGCGCTTGCGGCGAGTGAGAGTGACGAGCTCGGGCTCAAGGTGTACTCAGCATTCCCTGTGCCGCACTTCGAGTCATCACGGGGGTACATCGCCGAGAACGCGAGCCTCGGGCCTCAAGTCGCCGGCAACGCCGTCATGGTAACGGCCAAGGCTGTCGACAACGGCGAAAAGCTGAATGCGATGTACGCGCGGGTGGTCGACGCCGGCGCGGCGCTCATGGTGGTGCCGGACACGCTCAGTTCGCACGTGCAGACGCTGGTGGCAACGTCGCTGGCGGCGCTGGTCCGGCCGGAGACCAAGGTGGCGGTGATGGTGAGCCGTGTTGGGAGTCCGATTCTGGGCGAGGTCAACGCGCGCGCTGCGGGGCGCGAGGTCTTTGTCACCTCCGAAGGCCTGTTTCGGCCGGACCGGATTCTGACTGCCGCGCGGGGCGCGAGCTCGGTAGAGTCCATTCGGCGGGAGCTGGCGGCTGGCTCGCAGTCTGCAGCGGCGGCGGCGGAGCGGGCGGGTGCGGCGGTCGACATTCCGAGCGCCGTGCCGGACCTCGCGTTTGCAACACGCGCACTCTCGTCGTGGCGCCCGTCGCCGGTGGTCAACCTCGGGACTCGGGCCAAGTACCTGAACCTGATGGACGAGCCCGATGGCGGCGCCGGTGCCGACGCCGACGCCGGTGAGGCCGCTGCCGCTTCGGCAGTGACCCTCGAGTCGGCGTCAAGCGATGCAGGCGGGCGACAGACCATGCTCGAACTCCTGGTTGCAAACTCGAATACCCGCTCGAGGCGCTGCTGGTCAAGGCGTACACCACGCTTGCGAGTGTCATCCGGCAGCAATTGCTTTGCGATGTCTTCTCGCAGTGGTCGCCTGAGGCGTTTCTCGGTTTTGCCGAGCGCGCCGATCCGCAGGCGCTGGCTGCGTTTGTGCACGCGTACGTGCTGACTCAGAAACCATCGGCATATCTCAGGGCATCCAACGTGAACGTTGTTCCATGGCGGCCGCTGACGCAGTTCTTGGCATCGATCAACGCGCTGTATGCCAAGTCCGCGGCGCCGAGTAAGCGGCCGTTGCCGCAGCCCGAGCCGCAATCGCAGCCCGAGCCGCAGCCCGAGCCCGAGCCGCAACCCGGACCCGAGCCCGAGCCGCAACCCGAGCCGCAGCCCGAGCCCGAGCCCGAGCCCGAGCCGCAGCCTGAGCTCGATCTGGAATGGTACCAGACAACGGTCGAGGTGGTGTCGGCGAGCGGACTGGCGTCTAAGGACCGCAACGGGTACTCTGATCCGTATGTCAAGCTCAACTTCCCGGGCTCGGCTGTGAGCTTCAAGACATTGGTGAAGAAGAAGACGCTTAACCCTGTGTGGAAGCAGCGTTTCCTTCTGCACCCCGACGACATGCCCCTGCAGAAGATCAACGTCGAGTGCTGGGACAAGGACTACGGAACCAAGGACGATTTCGAGGGCCAGCTGACGGTCAACGTGGCAGCGTTCCCACTCAACGAGACTGTGACGCGCAACTACGTGCTGCAGGGCCGCGGAAAGCAGGAGGAGATCTCGGGCTCGGTGCGGCTTGCGATCACCAAGGCGGCACGGCTGAAGCAAGCGCCGCCGCCGTTGCCGACGTCTGCCCACGGAGGGACGCAGGAGGCCAGTGTGACGAGACGGCGCGAGAAAGGCAAGGCCGAAGTTGAGGGTGTGGTGGGTGAAGCAAGCTGCGATGCAAGGAGCGATGACGCGAGCGCGCACAGCCGGCTGGCCGATGTGTGGGTGCCTGCATCGCGGGAGGAGGCTGACGACTTTACATGGTTCGGCATGAGTCTCCTGACGCAGGCACTGGGTGCCCTGACGACCAAGGCGACGACGCCGCTGGCGCGGCTGCGGGCTGCGGGCGCCGAGCTTGTGGTCCGGGAAGTGCTGTGTGTGCAAGTCCGGTGGTACGGCGAGCTGCTCCACATCCTGCACAAGGCGCTGCTGAAGCGGGTGTGGGACGCAGAGAGCACCAAGGAGCGCGCGTCGCTCTTTGACGTCCTCACCGGGCTGCTGGTGACACTGCGGTGCGCGGGGCGGACGATGGACGGCGAGTCTGCGGGCTGCTACCGGCTGCTCGCCGAGCATCTGCAGGCAAACGTGGCGGCCAATGCCAAGGTGCAGACGACATACGTGCAGACGCTGACAGGCTTGCTTGTGGTTGCTGCGGGCTCGTTTGCGCCGGCCGCACCGCTCAAGGTGGGCGCGTGGTGGGAGGAAGTGCGGATGATGGAGCGCGTGGTCGACGGCTTCCTTGCCGAGTCGATCTCGTCGTTTTCGCGCGAGGTTCTCGAGGCTGCGTACACCGCCAACTGGGCGAGCGGGCGGGTGTTTGCCACGCCGCACCCGTACCGCAACTCGATGGATGAGTGGTACGAGTATGAGGCGGATGGCGCAAGCAGTCTGCAGCTGAGCTTCTCGCCGCTGTGCAAGAGCGAGCGCAACTACGACTACCTTGAGGTGTACGAGGGGACGCGGCGGCGGCGCGGCGCGAGGCTCGGGCGGTATTCGGGAACCAACTTTCCGAGCTCTCTGACAGCCCGCGGCTCGGCGGTGGTGATGCAGTTTGTGTCAGACGCGTCGTCGACCGAGTGGGGCTTTGAGGTCCTTGTCACGCCGCAGTTCCCGCCGGGCTACCGGCCGGCGGGGATGGTGTCGGGCGTAGAGGCCATGATCCCGCAGTTTGCATCCGGATGGAACCTCGACTACGACGTGGCGCTGGCCAAGCTTGTTAACAAGATCACCGAGCAGCGGTCGCTCGAGTCGTGGCGCTCCGTCCGCGAAATTTCTGCGGTGCTGCCCGAGGTGCTCGACGGCTCGTCGGAGTTTGACTTTCTGGACGCGGAGCGAGCGACTGCACGGCTCCCGCTGCTCGGCTATCTCAACCGACTTGTGGAGCTCTCGCTGCCGTATGTGGACATGACGCGGACGCGGTCGCCGCATTCGCTGGCAGCCAAGCTGCAGCGTGCGGCAGGCCTGCTGTTTGGCGATTATAAGGCACGGTACCTGAGCGACGTGCTGGGCGCAACCGGGTCCAGCTCGGACCGGCCGCGTATCACGGTCCACCGGGTGCGGGCGATGGAGGTGGTGGCTGCGGCGAGCGCGGCCGACCCGCCGGGCTCTGTCCTTGTCTCACTGCCGGACACGATTGTGGGGCAGGCAGCGGCAGAGCTTGCGCAGGTGCCTGTGGCGCGACTGCGGCAGTCGGAGCGCGCGTTCAAGGTCGAGTTCCGCGGCGAGGGCTCGATCGACGCCGGCGGGCCGTATCGCGAGACGATTTCGCAGATGGCGGAGGAGCTCCAGGCGCCGGGCAGCATGTTCATGCCTGTGCCGAACGGGGCGCTCAATGTGGGGATGAACCGCGGCGCGTTTGTGCCTCGGCCGTCGCTGGATGGCGAGTACGCACGGTCACTGTTTGTGTTTGTGGGCCGGCTTCTCGGGGTGGCGCTGCGGACCAAGGGCTCGTTTGAAATGACCCTCGCGCCGCTTGTGTGGAAGGCACTGCTGGGGCAGGAGGTGGGGCAGGAGGACCTTGCGCAGATCGATATCACGACGGTGCGTGCGGTCGAGTCTGTGCGGTACATCGATCAGCAGGGCATCGACGCAGAGACCTTTGGTGATCTGTTCTTTGAGGTCTTCTCGACGCACCTGTTTGACGGGACTGAGGTTGAGCTCCAGCCGGGCGGGTTGGAGCGCGAGCTCACGTTTGACAACCGCGACGAGTATTGCGACCTGGTCTTTGCTACCCATGTGCAGGCGTACACAAAGCACGTTCCCGCGATGCGGGCTGGGCTGGGGACGATGGTCCCACTCCCGCTGATCTCGACGGTCTTTACTCCCGACGAGGTCGAGCTTCTGGTGTGCGGGCGGGCGTCGATCGACGTGGCGCTCCTCAAGTCGCAGACCGAGTTTGGCTACGGCCTCACGGCGCAGTCGCGCGAGGTCGAGTGGCTCTGGTCAGTCCTCGAGTCGTTTTCGCCCGAGGAGCAGGCGCAGTTCTTGCGGTTTGTGTGGGGCCGGTCACGGCTGCCGCTCAACGCCACCGGCTTTGACCAGCAGTTCAAGGTCAAGAGGATGGACGCGCGCGGGCCGGCCGACGGTGCACTGCCTGTGGCGCATACCTGCTTTTTCCAGATCGATCTTCCGGCGTACACCTCGCGTGAGGCGCTCCGCGCCAAGCTGCTGTATGCCATCACCCAGTGTTGCTCCATCGATGCCGACACAAACACGGTGGACCGCTCGGCCTGGGGATGATTGAAGTGTTGTCAAAAACGTGCGGTTCCACGACTGTGGCTCGAGCAGATGTGTAAAGGATTTAGTACGCGCCGGCGTTGAGGAGGACGAGAAGCGAAGGCGTTGAGAGGCCCTTGGAGACCCACTCCTCCTTGGTGATGGAGCCGTCCTGATCGTGGTCGAGCTTGGCAACAATGCCGTCGACAAACGAAGCCGCGGCCTCGGTCTCGCGACCGAGCGTCTGCGCCACCAGAAGCATCTGCTCGATGACAGCGCGAAGCTCCGAGTCGGAGAGGTGGCCGGACGAATCGGCGTCATAGATCTCGAACAGGTACTCGAGCTTGTCCTCGGCCGGCATGACCGAGAGCATGGACAGCGCCAGCAGCAGCTCGTTGAACGAGATCCCGCCCGACTCGTCATGATCAAACGACCGGAACATCAGCCCGAGTGTTTCATCCGACGTATCCTCGCCAAGCTGCTTCTTCATGAACGATCTGTCCCCATGCCCGACCATACCCAGCCACCCATGCCAATCACGATGCGACAAGGTGAGTCGGCTGACCGATCGTTCCGAACCGCCAAACAGCCAGCCGTAACCCCCCCCCTAACCCCTGCCCCCCCCCCCCCACCACACACACCACATCCCATGCCATCCCCTGTATCCCTCCCAACCCATGCATTGACCTTCCCCTGCCCTGGGTACCTCCCCCATGCCTCTGCGCGCCGTTGGCCAAGGCTATGTGCGAGGTGGTGGCGGCGGTTTGGCCTGACAAGGAGGGAGGGAAGGGGAGGCAAGGGGGGGGGGGGGGGGGGGTCGGCAATGACGTACGCAAACTCGGTCGAGTCCAGCTGAAGGTCACCATCGGTGTCCTGCTCCTTGAAGGCCTTGTGCATGGACTTGATTTCATCCTTGGTAAAGTGAGTCTTCTCCTCAAGAGTCGTGACCTCGTCCTTGGAGAGACCAGAGTTCTGGTTGCCCATGTTGGTGGTGTCAGTCAGGTGTGGCACGGGGCGAGCGGCTGCGAGGAGGAG